TCCTTCATTAACGTCTGCCTATCGACCAGTTTTAGCCGCGTTTTGGTCACACCGGCCACCGATTCGTAATCTTCGAGTCTTACGCCAACTTCTGGTAATATTTCATCTCTTAATTGATCGCATATTCCCAACAATTCTTTGTCTTTTAAATCCATAGCTTTTGAGCGCAACTTCTCTCTCAAATCGGCAATTATCTCAAGGAATGGCATAACAATCGCTTCCCGATTACCACCGGCTTCGACGCCATCGCTGGTAAAGCCTATGGTCTGGTCTTTAGAGCCGACACCGAAAATGCCGAATATATTTGTGATATAAAGACTTATATTCGTAATGAGTGTCACATTCGGTGATTGCGAGCACTCCTGGAGATAGGAATTGGAGGCAGCGATGAGTCGACGGATGTGTTCGCACGCACTCCGAGTGTCGATATTATCGCACAGAGAAGTGTCCACCGAATCGATCGACTCTTGGAATCTGTTGTTTAAAAGTTGAATAATAAATACTTTGAAAAAACTAAACAAAAAAGTATTTTCAATTAAATACTTTTGGTTCAATTGGTGCTCCTTTTGAGTCCACTTTACGACCGACGCATCACTCGTACGAATCAAGTCTTTCACTGTTAGAAAGAACTCCTAATCAAAAGATAAAGAGCGAAAAAACTACATTAAAGCTACAAATAATATGGAAAGTGGTGTTGGGGTCGTGTCTGGCCATACATTAGCGCACTTCTCGTATTGAATGGCATCACTCATAGTGTTGTCGCTGTAGTCGAGGGTCTCTTTCCACGAGTGGAGCAGAAATGCGAACCGCAATTGTCTCCACGTATTCCTCGTCAGTGCCTCCTTAATGGTGATGAAGTTCTTCAGCGATTTCGACATTTTACAGCCCGATATCGTGAGATGACCTGAATGTAGGAAGTAGTGAACCCACGGCCGGCCGGTGTCGTAATAGGCCTCCGACTGAGCCATTTCGTTGTCGTGATGCGGAAACTTCAGGTCATAACCGCCCGAATGTATGTCCATTTGGGCGCCGATCATAGAACTGGCCATCACTGAGCACTCTATGTGCCAACCGGGACGACCCCTACCCCACGGCGACGGCCACAAGGGTTCGCCGGGTTTAGACACTTTCCAGAGGGCGAAGTCATTAACACTGCGCTTATCAGAGGTGTGGGCCGAGAGGTCGCCCTCTCCTTCGGCCAAAGCCTTGTTATCGCCGAACGCTTCGGGAACTAATTTGGCGTAAAAGTGTCGGTCAGACGAGTCGAACCGATTGGTGTCGAAATANTGGCGTAAAAGTGTCGGTCAGACGAGTCGAACCGATTGGTGTCGAAATAGACGGAACCGTTCGACTCATAGGCGTAACCGTTGGCAATGATTGTCTCGATATAAGCGATGATTTCGGGCATAAACTCGGATACTCTGGTCACCGAATCAGGCGCTAAGATATTCAACGAACGCATGTCTTCGTTGTAGTCGTTCTCGAAATGTCGGGACAACGACTGGAAGATCGTATTGTCAGTCACTTCGTGGCCGTGGAGTGCATCCAACCATTGAGACAACACATCACTCACACAAGCGGTGCCAAGAATTGCCTTCACATCCAACGCAGTACTGTTCACACTATCGCCGGCGGAAGCGATCATTTTGGTCAACAATGCCTTCTTATCCACATCTGCTTCGGCGGCCAATTTGGTCGTCACGTGACCGATGGCTTCCTTCACGTCGGCCATCAGTTGATGCCCATTGTGTTCAACGCGTTGACAGTATTGGGCGAAGAGATGCTTCTGTCGGGCCCTCTGAATAATCTTGTCGTCGATGTCCGTCACGTTCTGAACAAAGAACACGTCGTATCGGAAGTAGTTCTGGAGGACGCGGCGGATGATATCAAACGAGATGTAACTCCTGGCGTGACCCATGTGTGACCTGTCATACACTGTGGGCCCGCAGTTATACCAACTCACTCTTCGGCCGCCACTCAGAGGCACGAACTCAGTCTTCGTGCGGGTCATCGAGTTGTAGAGGAATAGCTTATTGGCAGTCATTGTGTGGCCATCGGTGGTAGTAGTGGTCGAGTCGGGTGCACACCATTGGGGTTGCGTTCGCTTTGCGCTCATTATAACAGATCAACGGTTCAATTCTTGAAAGTACTTGAGGTATGAATTCGACAATCGGTGACGAAGTGGTCAACAATCAAGTGATGGTTCAACTGATGGTTCAACTGATGGCATGTATTGAGTCATATGTTTTGCCGGATATGAGACAACACGTCGAGAGTGAAGACCACAACAATAGGTGGCACAACACGTGCTGCAGAGGAGTGAGAGTCACGTGATGTGAAGTTTATAACTGATAAACAACTAATTGTTTGGTTATTATTGACGCCAATTATGATTCAATCGAGTCATACATTGAACCGATTGCTTGTTCGCACTCTATGTCCACCGCTATGTGTCCGACAGTTGTCTTCGTCGGTGTCGTCGGCGCCGAAGACGTTATCCTCAGCTCAGTTTTGACCAGGGCTAAACTGAGTAAAGTATTGTGTTAGCGTTAGAAGTCAAGCCCTTGGCAAACAGCAGAGTTCTCTACGTTTGTAAGGAATGTAATTACTGTTGCTAAACGACGGAAAGGGAGCCAAAGGTATGACACAATCACTCGCACCGCTGTTTCTTACCATCACTTCTTGGGATCTGTTTATTGCCATTCAGTGATGATCCGGACCTATGGCTGTCAGATGAATGTCAACGACACACAAATTGCCTCAACTATTCTCCTCAACTCTGGCTATCATTTGGTCGATGATATCAATCAAGTAAATGAAAGAGATGTCAATCTCCAGACCATTGTTTGTTGTATTGATTTGTGTGTACTTTAGGCCGAAATAGTACTTCTGATGACGTGTGCCATCAGAGAGAACGCGGAGATCAAAGTGTGGAAAAAACTGCACGAATTGTCGGCCATGAAGACCGACGGCCGCCTCAGACAAATCGGTCTCTTGGGATGTATTGCCGAACGATTGAAGACCGAAATACTGGCCAAACACGAGTCAATTGATGTGATCGCCGGTCCCGACAGTTATCGCGATTTACCGAAACTCCTGGCCATCAATCGATTGACGGCTCAAAACGCGGTCAACGTATTGCTGTCTTTCGACGAAACCTATGCCAATATAATGCCCACAATTAGCAAATCATCGGTCAGTGCTTTCGTGTCTATTATGAGGGGCTGTGACAACATGTGCTCGTATTGTATCGTTCCCTTCACGAGGGGTCGCGAGAGGTCACGAGCTATCGAATCCATTGTCGACGAAGTGAGACAACTGTCCGGATCGGGTATTAAAGAGATTACGCTTTTGGGTCAAAATGTTAACAGTTATCGCGACTTAAGTCACCACAAGTCCGGCGAATCCAGTGTTTCATTAGTGCCCGGCTTTAAGACTGTATATAAGCCGCGTTCGGGTGGACTCACGTTCGATGTGTTGCTCGACGAAGTGGCCAGAGTTGACCCGAATATGCGGATCCGATTCACGTCTCCGCACCCGAAAGACTTTGACGAAAGAGTGCTTCACGTGATTCAAAGGCATCACAATATCTGCAAATGCATTCATCTTCCCGTCCAGAGCGGCAGTAACCACGTGTTGGCCCGCATGAGAAGGGGTTACACACGGGAGGCGTACCTGTCATTAGTGGAGCGCATCCGACAAATCATACCCAACTGCGCGCTCACGAGTGACTTTATCTGCGGCTTCTGCGGCGAAACAGAGGCCGAACACAACCAGACCGTGGATCTGATGTCACGAGTGAAATACAGCACCGCCTATACGTTCGCATATAGTATGCGCCGTAAGACTCACGCCTTCCACACTCTTACCGATGATGTGCCGCAAGAGGTGAAGATCGCGCGACTCAACCAAATCCATCAATTGTATCGTGAGATCGCACTGAAGGAGAATCGGTCACTGATTGGCGAACAACAGCTCATTCTCATCGAAGGCGACAGTAAGAAGTCGGCGGACGAGCTGTACGGACGCAATGAGGCCAACCTGAAGGTGATTGTGCCTAAAGTCGATATACCTGTCAGTAGTGGTGACACAACTAGTCTGCGACCTATGGCTCCGGGAGATTACGTGTTGGCGCGCATTGACAACTGTTCGGCCATCACTTTAATGGCCACTCCTATCAGTCACCAAATGCTCAGCAATTAGCAATAAAATAAATCAAAACAACAATCATTGTCTAAATTATGCATTTATTCATTAATTATTAAGTTATTTGAATTGTTCCTAACATTCTTAAGGCATATCATCACTACAACTGATGGACTCCTTTGGGTGTGTTTTGCCGACAACTGATCCAACACTTGCTTCTGTTCTCTATTGAGACGTTCGACAGTGTCTTCGCTTTGTGTCCGACAGAAACTGAGCTCTTCTTTATAGGACTCCAATTCGTTAATCAATTTGTCGTTTTGTTTGTCTATTATTTCCATTGCCTTCAATTCAGCCGTCAGTTGGTCTGCGTCTGAGCCGTGACTCTTGTCCGTCCACTTTAGCGCACATTTGCGTTCATATCATGTGCTTTGAAAGTACTTGAGGTATGAATGAGACAATCGGTGACGAAGAGGTGATAATGTCTTTAGAGAAGACAATACCAATAGATGGCACTCAACACATGTAGGGAATAGGAGTGAGAGTCACGTGACTGTGAATTGACAGACAATGCATATGATGTCGTCGATTGAGTGGCACTGAATCACTGATTGTGTCTCATCAGTGATCATAGCGAGTGTCTGACTCTAGCAATGACTGGCGGAACGCATAGCCCTAGCGTTGAGTCGCTATCAGACGGTCAGACCGTTAGTGTGGAAGCAGTCGTGTATCCAATTGGTGTGATTCGACATATGTTTGGTTTTGCGCTCAAGTCTATCATCGATTCCATACGTCTTTACAATCAACACTTCCAACAGTAAGTCATGCCCGCCAACACCCCTACCCTCACACACCGGCCATCATGTGTGGGAGTCTCATATGACTCAATACATGCCATCAGTTGAACCATCACTTGATTGTCACAACATTAGCATCACTTCGTCAACAGTTGTCGCAGTCATTCAATAGTCACGTGACCACCAAATTGGCCGCCGAAGCAGATGTGGATAAGAAGGCATTGCTGACCAAAATGATCGCTTCCGCCGGCGATAGTGTGAACAGCACTGCGTTGGATGTGAAGGCAATTCTCGGCACCGCTTGTGTGAGTGATGTGTTGTCTCAATGGTTGGATGCACTCCACGGCCACGAAGTGACTGACAATACGATCTTTCAGTCGTTGTCCCGACATTTCGAGAACGACTACAACGAAGACATGCGTTCGTTGAATATCTTAGCGCCCGATTCGGTGACCAGAGTGTCGGAGTTTATGCCCGAAATCATCGCTTATATCGAGACAATCATTGCCAACGGTTACGCCTATGAGTCGAACGGTTCCGTCTATTTCGACACCAATCGGTTCGACTCGTCTGACCGACACTTTTACGCCAAANACACCAATCGGTTCGACTCGTCTGACCGACACTTTTACGCCAAATTAGTTCCCGAAGCGTTCGGCGATAACAAGGCTTTGGCCGAAGGAGAGGGCGACCTCTCGGCCCACACCTCTGATAAGCGCAGTGGCAATGACTTCGCCCTCTGGAAAGTGTCTAAACCGGGCGAACCCTTGTGGCCGTCGCCGTGGGGTAGGGGTCGTCCCGGTTGGCACATAGAGTGCTCAGTGATGGCCAGTTCTATGATCGGCGGTGTGTGTGGTATAATGGGACGACTGTTGAGGGGGTGTTAAGCAGACTATCATTAATTAAGATTACTTTTTAGGAATAACGATATTGTAAATGAAATGTTGAGTGAATTGGAAGTGATATTGAATGGCGTTTCGAATCCGTTGTCGTGGGCTTTGAAGATTGAAATGAGTTTCCAGAATGGCATCAGAGAGGGGGTGGTGTCACAAATTCACGGCTATTTACTTCACTTTCATATAATCCGATTAAGTCTCGCATCTTTTAGGTAAGCATTTGATTAGACAATATGAGAGCATTTCTCTTAACCATAGAAACTATTTTTAGCGGTTAATAGTATTAGCCCAGACTCGGGATGTGAACCGATCATGTATTGGGGGTAGACTGACCAGATGAGTTTATGACAATCCTGGATTTTGGTAAAAATCAGCCTTATAATCCTGGATTTCTGGACATTTTACTAATTTTAGCTTCATTATCCTGGACGCCTCCATAGACTTAATGTTTAAAATATTTGTAAAATTCTGGACAGTCCATCTAATTCCGGGACAATCCAGGCCATTTCTGGACATCTGGTCAGTCTAATTGGGGGTCAGTTTGCCTAAAGTTTATTTAAATTATATTATTTTATTTAACTATTCCTTAAAGTTGACTCCATTTGAACGTAAAATTACTAAAAGTGTGGTTATTGTGTTGATTGTCACAAATAGCACATCAATTGTTTATTAATTTAGTTACGTTTATTGCTATGACATTGAATTGTAATCTTAATTGAATTGCCCTTATTTTTAGCGCATCTCATCGCGAAGTCTGTGCTCTATTGAGACCACACTTGAAACCCGAAGGCATTCTCAGCGAACTGTCGGTGCGATTGACTGATGGAACACCTCTTTCATCGTTTAACTAATATTTATTGTCAACACTTGAGTCACGATATGCTCTCTAATTGTGAATAAAATATTTTATGAATGAAATACTATAATTGTTCAAATTATTTATTAATTATTGATGTTCAAATCAAGTTATTTAATTATTTGTATTCTCTATTCAATATTCTTAAGGCATTGAACATATGACAGAACAAACACTACATTCAATAAAGGGGTTTCAGATATAGAGCGTACAGTATATGTGGTGAGGAGTGTATTATATGCGCAAACATTGCATACCATGTGCTCAACACATGTGTTGTTTCATTCAATGTTTACATACAATTCAGTTATCGTTACTAAAGCATCAAATCTGTGGCAATGATAACAGCGAGTGATCAACGGGTGCTGACCGACGGCCTCACCAACAGTGGCCTCGAATGCCAGCAAATGTTGGCCGAAGTGAAGCTCAAAGACAAACATTTGCCGGCGATTGACAAATGGGTGGAAGAGTTCTCGTCGTTGGTGTCTCGGCTGCCGAGTGGACGGCCGCACGAACTCACGGATCAGTTGTGGTGCAAACGGGCGAAAGTGCCGCTCATTCAGGAACCGTTTGCAGTGGACGGACAGTTCCGGTTCGCACCGCCCAAACAGTGCCGTCTAATGGGCGCCTATCCCTTGGGAACCGCTCTCCGACCGCTTCCCACCATTGATATGGCCGTTGAGATGCCGACCGAGTGTTGGCAAAGACAAGACACACTCAATCACCGCTATTACCGGAAACGGGCGCTCTATTTGTGTCATATCTGCCAATCCATCCGCTCGTCGCCACTCGTCTCTCAGATGAAGTTCACGTACTTTAACGGCAATCATATGCGACCCGTTGTGCTCATCACTCCGAGCGGTTCACTCGCCAAACGGTTCCGACTCTCGCTCACAGCGTATCCCGAATGCGACCAAAAGGTGTTTCGTTGGATTCGCTTCACTCCCGAGAAGAATAACGTTCGCAGCAATTGGTCCCAAACGAGTGACGGCCAAGACTTGCCGACTCCTGTCTATAACGCCGGTATTCAACACGACTTGAATCTCGTCGCTAACTATGAGTTTGTGTCCGAAACCGTCAAACAGTGGCCGCATCTGAAGGACTGTTTGATTCTCATGAAGGTATGGCTCAAACAGAGAGCACTGAAGTCGGAGTTTGGCTTTTGTTTGTCTCTATTTGTTTGTCATCTCCTGAAGAGCCGTAAAATAAGTGCTAATTCTAGTTATTATCAAATATTTCGCAATACTTTGCTATCGATTTGTAAGTTTTAATTGATTTGATTTAATATGTATTTGTGACTCAATTTGTAAATATTGTTTGATTTAACCCTAACTTAAAGCCACCTCTAAGTGGGACTCAGAAGGCATTTCATTGACCGAAGACTTGTATCAACCGCTCGATTATCACTTAACTTACTTCCCGGTTGTTTTGATCGACATCACCGGTTATCACAACATCTGTTGGGACGTCACCATTGATTCGTACGACCGGTTGAGACACGAGTCGAAGTTAACCATCGATTTCTTGGATTCCAATCACTCGAATGGCTTTGAATCGACATTCTTGAGAGAAGTCACTTTTGAGACCAAATACGATATTCTCCTTAAGTCAGTATTTTTACTCATTTATCTATCTTTTGATTAATTGTTAATTTCTAAAGGATTTCCGTCCCATCGCTGCTGAAGTCACCAAAAGTATCTCAAATGTCAAATGACATAACAGATAATTGCGGTGATATTGTCACCGCATTTGTGGGCCATTTGGTACCACTTTGTCGACGAGCTGTTGGCCAACGTGTACTTCTATTACAACACAAGTCCAAGTTTTCCAACAATAAGGAGTGGGCATTAGATCAGTTGCCTCCCCATCCAAACGACGTCCCATTCCTCATGTTTGGTCTTATTGTGAATGAAGAATACGCTTATAATAACATAGAAAGAGGTCCGCCGGCGGACACTTCCGAAGCGACAGACTTTAAGGACTTTTGGGGCGAAAAGTCTGAATTGAGGCGATTTCAGGACAACTCTATTTGTGAAGCCGTTTATTGGGATTTTAAAACATTGTCTCAAAAGAGACAAATTGTGACCAAATCTCTTGAATTCATTTTGACAAACATTTTAGAGATCCCATCGGAATCTTTCACCACAACAGTATCACTATTGGATCCAATGGTGGAACTCTCGAACTTAAAGTTTGAGGACAAATCTGTGGTTTACGGTACGGCCGAAGAGTTTTCGATATCATTGTCTCATAAGTTCGATGCTTTGGCCAAAAAGTTGCGGTCCTTAGAAGAACTTCCGCTCACTATAACTAATGTCCACACAATTGATGCCGTATTTCGCGGCACAGATGTAAGTAATTTGAGTTTGTGTTGGAAGTGATGTCAAAAATATTTAATATTGTTCAATTACCAGGTATTCCCACCATTGGCTATGAATAGTGGAAAGTCATTCAATGTGACCAATAATTGCAATTCATTTGATCTATTGGTCGATCAAAGGGTACCCAAATATTTCAAACCATTGAAAATAGTGATCCAATTGGAAGGCAGTGGCAAATGGCCGGATGTGTTGGACGCCTTCCGCAGAGTAAAGGCTTCATTTCATATCGAGTTGAGTAAAAAGTTGTCGAAACAATTCGGATGCGTTTGTTATGCGAATACCGATTACGTCGATGTCTTTGACGACGGTTTTGTATTTCGCGTAATCATTGGTTCCCATAAAGAGATAGTTTTGTTGAGACAAATCACGACAAGCGATGGACTCGTCAAACGAATTGAGAGTCCAGTGGCCGACAATTTAGAGACAACGTATGAAGTGATGCCAAAAATTAATAGCGCTTTAAACGCGTTGAGTCGAAGGCATCTTTGTTTTGGTCTCAGCTGTCGATTAGCCAAACGATGGGTTTCATCACAGATGGTGTCCTATTATTTTGAAGACATGGCCATAGATTTAGTGGTCGCCTATATATTCTTGAATCCAAATCCATATACTGTTCCGAAGTAAGAGTTGTTTCAAATTAATTTTTCATCTCAATTCTAATCGATAAATCAGTTCTCCGATCACAGGATTTATAAGATTTTTATCCTTAATCTGTGACCACAATTGGAAAATATCACCACTTATTGTCGATCTGAACAATGATTTAGAGGAACAGACAGTGACTGATATCACAGCAAAGTTTATGAAATCTCGAGCCAAATACCCGCCGATGTTTATAACCAGCGGTTACGACAAAGAACTCTCAAAATGGACGTCGCGTTGGCCCGACTCTATCGTATTGAATCGATTGCAAGTGTTGGCCACCGCTGCCAAAGACACACTTGTGTC